CTGAAGTGATTAATTAAAAAAAAGTTGAAAAAAAAGATGGACACCCATCCTGAGCCTGGTTCTGGTTCTACTGGAGGTTTCGTCCTGTAAAAAGAAGTTATTCCTTTCCAATACTACCAATGTGCTGCTCAGGATGGGAAATTGTGATGAAGTGGCAGTTCATTTCAAGACACAAGTCAAGCGGATTGTTTCTGCAAGGGTACAGTTGGAACAAACAGGATTACATTATGGTTTGCACCCTGATGTCTTATGAGCTCACAATACAGTTTTGGTTTGAAATTAAAGAAGGTAAAATGCACACTTTTCATTTTTGCTACATCGAATTTTGCCTGTATGTTTCTTTACAAATGTGTTTGTGTGTGATTCTGAAAGAACCAACTGCATTGCATTTCTGAGTACTTTGCCATACAGTATTTTAAGCACTGAGTTCCTCTCCTCCTGTTTGCTTTAAAAACTCATGGATCAGACCTTTAACACACCAATGAGCAAAATTATTCCATCTGAAGAGCCGTCTTCTGTACCTTTGTTTGCAGTTGTTTTATTCTAGTATAATCTTAATTATTGATTTTATAAGGCTAAGCATCTGAGCATTTTTGCTGTTATTTGGTTATTTTTCTGCAGATACACTGGAATAATGATACACATAACTGTGAATGAAATCCAATTCCATAATATGCAGTATTTATATATTTAATTCTGAGTTTAAATTTCCTATTTTCATTAATCAGCTTGACTTTGTCGTAAAACACTTCATTTGCTGAGCATTCCTGCAACTTAATTGCATATCAAAGTCCTTTACAGAGCAAAAGCAGAATAGAAGTAAAAAGGACAAAAGACTGATAAAAAAACACTAAAGTAATTTACAAACTGCAACAAAAACAACTGTCAGTGTACAGCCCAGAACACATAATTACTATTATCTTCTATAAAGGGGACAGCTTAAAGGGGCAGTATCATGTAAAATCAACTTTTTTGAGTTTTATATCATGTTATAATGTTATAC